ATTTCAGTGTTTTTTCTTTAGGTTTTATTGTTTTCTAGTTAATGGTCCCTGCAAAGCCAAGACCTCCAGAAGGTCCCAGCCTGGAAGTGTTGCAGAAAACAGGTTCCAAAACATCTTTAAAAGCCGACTCCGTGTATTCAGTGCAGAATGTATGCAGTTTAGGAATAGCAAACCAAACAGTGGATGTGGTGAGGGGTCCCAGGATCTCGCAGGAAAGGGAGGGCCCCGGGAGGGAGCCGGGCCTCCAGGGAGCCTGCTGCAAGAGGGTCCCTGGAGTCCTGGAGATGGGCCAAATACGGGAAAGGCAGGAGAAACTAGAAAAGCAGGTCACGGTCTCTGGGGAGGTCAGTGCAGGGCCCGGAGAGCTGTCCCTCCTGCCTGCTGCCTCAGTGGAGCTCCCGCCTGCTTGCTGCCCTTCCCCAGCTCTGCGCTGGGCAGCTCCTCCAGTAGGCTTACCCCCGTGACCTCCCAGAGACACCCTCCTCCTATGCTGTCCAGGACCAGCCTGGTCTCTCTGCTGCCTGCCTTGGCTTTCTTGTTGGTTCTCCGACTCGCTTCCCTGGTCTGGATTGCTTGGTCTTAGGCTGGATCCAAAGAGAAGACACAAACAGTGACAAAGTGGTGCACGTGCTGCGAGGACAGAGGGGCCAACAGCTCTGCCCTCCTCCCTGGGCCGCTGGGCAAGGCTGCACAGAGCGGGGAGTCCTGGGGCTTGGGGGTGAGACATGTGCCAGATGGAGAGAACCCTCCCAGCAGAGGCCAGAGGGGTGCGGGACACAGTTGCTCAGAGGGCAAGTGCCTGGTATGCCCCGCGTGGCTTGTGGGTGGGGCAGAGGGAGAGGTCTTGTGGTCAGACCTGGAAATGTGGATCTCACCTTCTGTGGGCAGATTCTGAAGCATGGGAATGAACTGATTAGACTTGAGAAGACGATTTGGCCTCAGTAGCAAGGATGGGTGAAGCTTTGCTCTGAAGGGTATGCTTTGCTCTGTGCCACTTTGACTGGGCCCACACTCTGCCCCAGGTTCCTGTGTGCCCTGCTCGCACGGACCCTGCCTGTCCTCACCAGCATCTCTGTGTACTTCCTGGCGTGGACCTCACATTCCCAGCTGGCAGCTCCCCTCTGTCCCTGTGCTCCTCTCTCAAACTCCAGCCCTGCCATACTCCTCAGAAACCCCTCTCCCTGCAGACCTTCACCTCCATTCTTCACTCCACCACCATCCCAGTGATCTGAGCATAAACCCCGCCATCATTGTCCTGCACATGACCAACCCATGTCCAAGTGCTGCTGTGTGATGTCTGTGCCAGGGAGGGGTCGGGGAGGCCTGATCCTGTACCCCAGGTCAGGTGGAACCCAGGGATTCTGAAAAGTCTAAGTTCAAGCCTGGCCCTCAGGACCTTCTGCGGGTGCAGTTTTCAAAATAAGAGGGTGTGATATGTATCCTGAGAGTTTGCTCCCTTGGGTGCATGAGACTCGCTATGCTGCCCTCCAGCCCTGCCCTTGCTGGGCTGCACAGGTGAGGTGACCAGCAGGGCCTGCAGTCCAGTTCCCAAATGCAGAGGAAAGCAGCAAGGGCTTCATGCATAAGCGGTAGGCCCCAGAGCACCATCACCGTTGAAGTGCGGCCTTCTCCTGTGACCGGCCTTCCACCCACCCCCCCACAGCCTCCTGCTCTCAGAAGGCCTTGAGCTACAAGTAAACCCCAAGTGCTCCTTTATGAGGCAGATAATTTAGGTTTTGGAGTGGCACTCTGCTCTCTAGACCTCCATGCTCAGAGTGGCTCGTGGCTGTGGCAGGGCATGTCCTCTCTGTGGAGCCCTGGAGAGGGAAGGCTGCAGGTGGTCCGGAGGCCCAGGAGCTGTAGAAAGGAAGGCCGGGCACTGGGTCTTGGGGGAGAGCAAGGAAACAGAAGGAATGGAGGGGGAAGCAGAAACAACTCAGGTCAGTGAGAAAGCCTGAGGGAAGAGCTTCCTATGGGGACAGAACCGCCACAGCCCACTGTCCTGAAGGAAGGTGCTAAGGGTGGAGTCTCACCTCAGGATGCTGAGGTGACCTTGGCTCAGTGGGGCAGAGGGAGGGCAGAGATGGCGGGATGCAATCAGTGCTAAGGAAAAGAACAGTCCAGGCTTGGGAGAGAGGAAGAAGGCCAAGTCCTGACAGGCCCAAATGACAGAGGGACAGCAAGGCTCTTCAGCCATGCAGCCTCAGAGCCTCTGAGGGTGCAGGGAGGAGCCCGGGCAGAAGGAGAGAAAGCAGCTTTGGTCTGTCCCAGGGAGCAACTCCTAGCCCTCCCAGAACTTCAGTGTCCAGGGCTGGCCAGCTCCTGTTCTTACAGAGGGGCCTTCAGCTAAGCCCTAGGCAGCCCCAGAGGGCCCACCGCCTCTCTCAGCCTTCCTGGGCTAAGGAAGGACATTTCTGGTCACACCAATGAGCAGGAACAGGTGGACAGAACCTGGGGAGCCCAGCCACATGGGCTGAGGAGAGCCACACAAAGGCAGGGCCTGCCCTTGGGTGAACTAAAGTCCAGGTGAGGGACAGGTGAGGGCCAGCCGAGGCCAAAGATGGCTGAGGCCTCAAGTGATGGCAAGAGGGAGACCCCCAGCGAGGTATGTGGAGGAGGAGACTGGAGGGAAGTGGGAATGTAAGGAAGCACCAGGTGGGAGGCCATCAGCCCCCAGTAGTCCCAGTGGCAGGACCTGGATTGTGGGTGGCCATGGACAGCTAAGGGAAGAGTATATGGCTGGGTTACACCATCGTATCTGGGGGCTGGGTTACCTCTCTCTCTCTCTTTTTCTTTCATGGTACTGGAGATTGAATCTAGAGGTGCTCTACCACTGAGCTACATCCCCAGTCCTTTTTTTTTTTTTTTTTTTTTTTTGAGACGGGGTCTTGCTAAGTTGCCCTGACTGACCTCAAACTTAAGATCCTCCTGCCTCAGCCTCCCGAGTGGCTGCCATGGCAAGTGTCCATAATTACTCATCTCAAAACTGTCTGTTGAGGGCTGGCCTAGGCACTGGTAGCGGCTTTCTCTCACTGGAGGGCAGGAGCTGCTCCCCCTCACCTCCTGGCACGCAGACCCTCACTTCTCCATCAGCACGGCAAGTCTTCACGTCCTCTTGGTATGCTGATGGTATTTCAAGTGAATGGACCCAAGGACATAAATCTTTAAGGTCCAATCACCCTCTAATGTGACTCTCAGAGCAGGGGCCAGATGTTAATTAAATTTCACGAGTACATTTTTAAACACCCCTCGCCTTAGTAAACAGGGATTAGAGGGATAAATTACAGATCCAGTCAGTCAACTCTGCCTATATAGCTTCAACTCAAATGAGAATAATAATACCACGAAGTAGGCTTGCAGGCTTATGGCTTTGTAAATAAGCCTGTACATACAGGCCATTTGGCTCTCACTTGGGGCACTTGCTTTTCCCATTGCTTGTACATATTATGCTGGTAATAGTCTTGATACAAATATCTTTTATTGCCATCCTGCCACTTTTGTGACATTCCAAAAAAAAATCTTAGGATTCTAGTGGGAAGATGGGGTGTCTCATGTTTGGAACAGAGCTTTGCATTCACATTTGGATTTTTTTAAAATTTTAATTGTAGATGGACACAATACCTTTATTTTATTATTTATTTATATGCGGTGCTGAGGATTGAACCCAGTGCCTTACACCTGCTAGGCAAGCACTCTACCACTGAGCTACAACCACAATCCCTCATGTTTGGAATTTTCCAAGTGCTACTTCAGAGGCAAAGTCCCTAGGCATGGGTTGACTGGAGTTCTTTTAAGGACACTCACTTCTCACCTGAGACTTTTAAGTCTTGCTAAAATCAGTCCAGGTCAGGCAGACTTGGTGGGTGGGTGGAGTGGTGTTGTGTAATTTAAAATTTTTTGGTCTGAAAGGAAGATATTACCGAATGACAGGCCAGTTCCCCTGTAGGGATGTTGCTTCTCTGTATGAAAACTTTCCTCCCTCTTGTTTGCAAACAGGGAGCTGCACGGGTTCTTGTGATTTCTGAGACCCAGGAAACTGACTTCCATTTGTGTCTGGGATTTTCTTTTTTTTTGGTGGTGTTATTCTCCATTTAAATTGATGCTGTATAGCCTCAGTACACTGATCCACTTATTTTCCCCCTTTAATCCCTGTTTCATAACATTGGTGATGTTTTAAGATGCACTCTTGAAATTCATTAATGAACATCTGGGAGCTTGCTTTGGAATGACAAGAGTCAGAGAAGGCAAGGGCTGAGCCGGTGTGGGGAAAGCCCCTGTGGTCCACGCGTGGGGCACTGGTCCAAGAGTCAGGCACTGCGCTGGTGGACTGGGCAGCTCAGCTCAGAGAGGGGAAAGGCCTGGCCTCCTGCGCTTCCTTTACTCTCCAAGCCACTAGCAGGGCCCACTCCACTTTCCTTAGGGCTGCGCCTCCCAGGTGGCCCTTCGGCTGCCTCGAGGCCGGGGGCCCAATCTCGCTAGGGACGTGAAGAAGTTTCCTTTGTCAGTGGCGACCATTTGGCGCCATGGCGACCGCCGCGAAGTAAGGAGCAGCCTGCCCACCACCGGGCGCAGGCTCGGATTTACGCCGGCCCCGCCAAAGCCGGCCCGGGAAAAGCCGGCGCCGCGGAACAGCGAAGGGCGGCATCTCAGACCGGCCGGGCGGGGGGTGCGGGCGGCACCCAGGGCGGAGGGCGGGTCTGGAGTGCCCGGCTGGGACCGCGCTCCGGGCGGAGACTGAGTGCGGGCCCCGGGGGCGGCGCTCCGGGCGGGGCGGGGACTCTGCGCGGGCTCAGGGGGCGGTGCTCCGGGCAGGGCGGGGACCCAGCGCGGGCCCAGAAGGCGGTGCTCCGGAGGGGCGGGTCCCCGAGCGGGCCCAGGGGGCGGTGATCCGGCGGGGCGGGGACCCAGCGCGGGTCCAGGGGGCGGCGTTCCGGCGGGACGGGGGCGGCCGGCGCTGGGCGGCGCTCCGGGCGGGGCGGGGCGCGGCGCGGCGGGCCGGGCATGGCGTCCATGGCGGCAGCGATCGCGGCCTCGCGCTCCGTGGTCATGAGCGGGAACCGGCCGCTGGACGAGCGGGAGCGGAAACGCTTCACCTATTTCTCGTCGCTGAGCCCCATGGCCAGGAAGATCATGCAGGACAAAGAGAAGATCCGCGAGAAGTATGGGCCCGAGTGGGCGCGGCTGCCGCCCGCGCAGCAGGACGCGATCATCGACCGCTGCCTGGTGGGGCCGCGCGCCCCGGCGCCCGCCGACCCGGGGTACCCCGGCGACCCCGAAGACGCCGCGCGCTTCCCCGGCCTGCGCGGGCCCACGGGCCAGAAGGTGGTGCGCTTCGGCGATGAGGTGGGGCTCTGGACACGCCCCGCGCGAGGGGGAATGGGCGGCGAGAGGGGCCCAGCGGAGACGGGGGCTCCAAGACCCCCGCCCCGTGCGAGGGACGTGGGCGGCGCCGGGGCTGGGGGCGCCTCGGGGAGAAGGGAAGGGGGGCTTTAAAGGCCACTTACTGAGCAAAGCGGACCAAAGTGGCGACAGCGGGAATTCTAAGGCCGGCTGACCTGGGTTCTGCCCCAGCTCTGTCCTTTGGCAGCTGTGTGGCCCAGGGAGAGTCTTAGAGCCTCAGTTTCCTCGAGTGAAACGGGGATGGCGCCCACCCGCGAGGCACTCAGCTCGCGGTGTCAGTTAGTACTTGTGCCGGGCCGTGAGCTCCGTGGGGAATGAGGCTTGAGAGGCGGGTCTCGGGGAGGAGGAGGCGCCTTCCAAGACAGGGACCCACCGTCCCGAGCCCACCGTCCCGAGGTGCGACTGGGGGGCACGATGCGCTTTGTGCGGCGAGCGTGGCGACCCTGTTTTTCTACGGAAAGATCCTGGGAGAGGAGTTGAGATGCGCTCCACAGCCTCGCCCCTTCGGAGGGGAGGGCAGGCTCAGCCGCAAGTCTACCCCTGCTACGCGCAGGGAGTTCGGGGTTGGGAGGCCCGGGATCTGTGCGCTAGGAATAGCTTGGTGCGCTTGGGAGTGAGTGTCCCTGAAGCCTTCCATGCCCTGGGACCTCGTTTGGCGGTTGGTCTGACTTCTGCCTGGAGGGGCGAAGTGAGAAGGAGCAGCAGTGGGGTCCACTCCGCTGAGGCTGCTGCTCAGGCTGCTGAGGGGAGGGGCCGGGGGAGGTTTTCCCGGGAAGTTGGGGACTGTGAAGGGACTCAAGTTCAGAATGAGGCTTAGAGCAAACTTTCAGGCTTGGATATGTGGAAACGTTCGTTAATGCAGAATGTCTGTGGCCATAAATTCACTCTGACGTCAGGTCGGGAAGTGTGAAGTATAGGACTGTGTTGCCAGCAGCGCCCGGATTCTCAGGGAATTAATAGAAAACTCCCCCTTGGACTTTCAACTCGAAGGCTTGCCAGGAAAAACAAGGGCGTGGTAAGCTGGGGAAAGGAAAATATAGGTTTTAAAATGTCTTCCAGAGCCGAAACAGCCCAGGGGGAAGATGTGCACTTCTGTAGATGTGCAGGTTTGGGTGTGAGAAGTCAGGCGGCCCTTGGAAGGCATAAGTAAATAAACCTGAGGGCAGTAAGCCTGTAATTTCCTTGCAGATGTTGGAGAGTGGCTGGCCCTAGCCCTGGCCCTGGGTTTGTCCAGCTGAGAGCAGTGGCATGACTGCTTGTCATCAAAAAGCCAGGCCACGTTGCAGCTCAGGATCGCTGGCAGGGACAGCCTTCCACCAGGCTGAAGTTCTACTCTGGGTCCCTATCTGGAGCTAGACTGATCTCTTTCTGGACTTGCAGACCCAGTGTGACATAAAAACAAGGGAACCGCTGCGGCCGCCTGGGAGCTTCCCAGAGCCACCAGCCCTGTCTTTCAGAATTGAATCCCAGCTTCTCACACATGTTGAGAGCTTGCCCATACCCTGGCTTACCCCTGACAACCTCAGCACAGGTGGCCACCACAGGCACAGCCTTGGTTTTAGGAGAAGTCTGCAGGAACATTGCCAGGGTGGCTGGGTAGTTTAAATGCCATCAGACGAGGCAAGGGGTTGGCACTGAAGTGGAGTTTGCATTCTCGTTGTTGCTCACGGGAGATCACTTGTGGAGGAGGGCAAGCTCCTGGGCATAAGGGATGATGGATAGGACAAAATGGGAGATGACCCCCTGCTGGGTGGCCCCAGGTTTGAGCAAAGGACTAGCTTGAGTAGGGCTGTCCCTTCCCACTTGATCTGTCTTCTCCTATGGTCACAGGGGTCCCCATGCCCTGTCAGCTGCCCTGAAGGGTGCTGCCTACTTCTTTGCATACTCCCTCATTGCCAGTGACATTTTTGTGTCCCACATAGCAATATCCTAAGTCAGTGAATGCAGACATAATGACCATCATCTAGTTATTTGTATGTGTTACTGGAATAAATAGAAGTCTGATTACATGATGGTGACCACAGATCTCAGTGGCTCTGGGTGTGGTCAGGGGCTCAGTTCATGCACTGAAGTTGCCTGTGTGCAGGACAGGTGCAGCAGTGTGTGTGTGTGTGTGTGTGTGTGTGTAGTTTCCATGCCTGGTGAGGTGGAAAACTTGGGCTGGCTCAGGTCCCCATGCTCTGATGATTTAATCTGGCCCCTTGCAGAGAAGAAGGTGGCTGTCCTTGTTGAGGCCTTGAGGTACTTGCCAGGTTTTACATTCTTTCTTCGTAATCAATTGAGCAAGTATTCCTCACGTCCTATTGTATTAGGAAGTAACGGCATCTTAGCTTAGTCTTCACCAGCTCCTTTAAAAATCTGGCTTGTGACCTCAGTAAATATCTACAGAGTGGAATGTTGCCCAGAGTGCCAGCCTTCCTGCCTCCCCGAGGCCCCAGGCCCTCCTGTGTGGTAAACCTCGGCTGGTGCTGGAGGAAAGCTCAACACAAAGGTGGGGCCCCCACATCTGGGACCCAGGTCCTCACCGCAGTCAGCAGCAGGTATTGCCTCCTGCGGGCCCTTGGCCCCCTGGAGTCGGCCTGGCTTGGAGCAGGTGCACACAGCATGCTCCCTCCTGGTGGAGGATCTCGGTGAGAATGGCAAGGCCTGTCTGCAGGTGGAGGCTCTTTACGGTCTGGCTTGTCCGCGCTCCTGATGGCTGTGAGTGCTGGGAATGGCTGACCTGGGGAGAGGAAAGGTTCTTGCTTTCTAAGGGTTTAGGGAACACCCTGCATGCTTCTTCTGCTGCCTGTTATCGATAGAAAATTGAACTCTTGGGTTTGTGTTGCCTTCTGCTTCCTGTCCCCACCCCCAAACTCCGTGCCACCCATCCAGCAAGATCTGAGTAGGTGCGGGAGGCTGCAGAGTTGCTCACCCGGTGCCGCCCTCTTGGCTACAACAGGCCAGCAGATGACTGGGAGGCCTGAGCCCGGGCAGCTCCTTTGTGTGGATCTGCTTGCTGCATCTACCTCTCCATGAAGCAGGTGGGGCTGGGCAGGAGTGGCGTTTCCTCACACCCATCCTCAGAACCCTGATCTGGGTTTTGCATGGGGAGTGCCCCCCACCCCCAGCACTGCGAATTGAAACCAGGGTGCTCTACCACTGAGCTACACCACCACTCCTTTTTACTTTATTTTGGGACAGGGTCTAAGTTACCAAGGCAGGACGGAACTTGTTTTCTTTCTGCCTCTGCCTCCTGAGTGGCTGGGATTCAGACCTGCAGTGTTGCTCCCGGCCATACCTGAGTTTTAAGACCCTAGGACCAGTTAGTTCCGCCCTTTCCTCAGCAGCTGAGCATGATGGCTGCTATCCTTGGACCCATATCCCTCTCCTGCTGCGGGAACCTAGGGCTTTGCTGGCCACTCTCTCATGCCTCATGGCTTTACCTCCTTTTCTGAGGCTGAGTCTTGGTCTCCGGGCTCCCAGACATCTCCTGCACTGTCCTAGGCCCTTTAAGGCCTGGTGGCTTTCCTAGTCCACAGCGGGAGGACCTGTAGGTGTCGTAGGGGTGGAGTATCTGTCAGCGGCCGTCCTCCAGGGGCTGCCTGCCCAGGACCTGCCTTGCCCGCTTTTGAGGGTCCAGGTTCTGGAGGGCCTGTGGGCCTGAGTCCTGCACAGCCTAGATATTTGGTCAAGTAAACAGATTTATTATAACAAGTTGCATACATCAGTATGGTAGTTGTCTCAAGCCCCGCAGAAGCAGCCTTTGCTGGGGAGAGCAGGCAGCTGCAGGACCTGCGGCTCCTGAAGTCTCCCTTCTCATTTACTTTGACACTTTGGCCTTTTATTTTTTTTCATATTTTGTTAAAATTAAAAAGAAGGTAGTTTGGGAGTTGCTGTCTCAGTATTTTGGACTTGCTTTTTCAGGAGGTGGAATGTGTGGATTGATCCCCCCTCTGTGTGGTGCACCCGTGCATGATCTAGAAAAGATGACAGAGTGGGTGTGGCTTTTTGTGTCTCTGGCTGGGGCTCTGTATGGCCACTGGGCAGGCATTGAGAAATGGCCAGAGCCAGTTCTGAAGTCTCTGCTAGGCGCAGACCGTGGGCTGCCTGAAAGCTTCCCTGGCATGTTGAGGGTTCTCCACCCTGATCAGCACCTGGCTGCGTGCCCTGGTTGCACAGGCAGAGTGGCCTCCCTGCCTAGGTGCCTTTGCCTGCTGGCTCCAGTGGCACCCGGGTACAGGTTTTACAAAGAAATGAAATGACTTGTTCACAGTCACGCAGGAAGCAGGCAGGTAACTAGGAATCGCTCACACCCTGACCAAGACATTCCCATAGTACTGAAAAAAATATTTTCTTCAAAATAAATAAATAAGGAGTGGGTGAGTGCAGGCTAGACCTGTCTCCTTAGACTCCTGCCCACGTTCTGTTCTTTCCTTGAAGCATGCTCCACCCATTCTGCACTCTGCCTGTCACCATGGTGGAGGCACTCGGTTCTGTTTCTGCTGTGTGGAGCTGAGTCTCTGGATCCGCGTGCACAGTGGACGCACCCAGGACTGCATCACAGCTGCTTTCTGTCTTCGGAGCTGCACTCATATCTCCAGTTATGGAAAGGCCCATCTCAGCAGAGTTAAATATATTCCAGTTAAAGGAAACAAACAGCCAGATACCATAAGTGTGTACAGTTGCTGTGAATAGGCAATAGGTAAAAAGCATATTTTTATCATTCTTTACTCCTCCCCTTTTTAATAGATTTAATTTTTTAGAGCAGTTTTAGATTTACAGCAAAACTGAGTGGAAAGTTCAGAGTTCCCACCTACCCTTGGTTCGCAGGCAGCCTCGCTCACCTAGTGCACCCCCATGGGCAGGCAGTCTATGGTCATGGTGGTCCGTGGTCACGGCCCTGTGCTGATGTCTCATCACCCTAGGTCAGAGTTCGTGTTCGGGTTCACCATGGCTGATGC